ATATTATGTTCGGGTCTTTTTTTATTTTAGGGTTATCAACTAGGTCTCATTTGAGATGTCCCTTGAGCTCTAGAAAATTAGAAAAAAAATCAAGTCAAAATCATATATTATAGATCAACTTATGACCATAAAAAATAGATCAAATTAAAAACACATTGACGCGCTATGTTCTTCAAACAAGAACAAATAATTTATATATATGTTTCTATCGTGTAACAACTATATATGAGTATAGTTATTTATGATTATAATAAATCCTACTTCATGTTGCCCTTCTTTGCCTCTTATATAGAAGTAATACAAATAACAAAACATGTGGCAAAAAAAAGTACATGTTTAAGAAAATGAAGAACAAAATAGAAAATGCGAATTACATTACTTGCGAAAAATACAAAACAAAATGAATGATCATAGGTCTACATATAGTTTCAACAGGTATTTTCCCAAACAAAAGTCAAGGCTTACCCAAACAAAAGCCAAGGCTTTTCCAAACAAAAAAACACTCATTTTTCAAATGTGAAAACTAAATGAAAGTTAACATGTCATTATCCATTAATAATTACAAGACACGAATCATAACCACCTAGCAAACCAAAACATTTTTCTACTCACCTTAAGAGAATCAATCCACCGGCATGGAATGTATGATAAAGTTTTTTTTCATTTGAAATTTAAAAACTATATTTCAAGTCATTTGATTCCCTACTTTACCCTCTTCACCAAAAAAATCCGTGCTTCGCAGACGACTGCTCAAATGGTCACGAATTTGTGCTTCGCACACAACACCTTGTTCTTTTGTAGTGCGGCAGAAACAGATGCTAGAGCACTGAAGGAGATTCTTGATATATACTTACGCGAGGATTTCAGGTTAAGAAATTAAACTCGACAAATCCACGATGGTCTTTAGTCCAACAACGCCGTCATATATTAAATACTGGCATACTGGCCGGGTGCAGCACATATTAGGGTTTAAGGTGGAGGAGTGTCATAGAAGTGCCTTGGGATGCCGTGTACCATCGGGCGTACCAAATGAGAGATATTTAGTTATTTGAGAGATTGTATATAGGCCAAAGTAAGAGGGTGGGTTGAGAAGCAATTATCTAGAGCGGGTAAATAAATAATGATAAAGTCGGTCTTACAATCCATCCCTACTTATGCGATGAATTGTTTCTTGATGCCGGACAACTTATTATCGAAGATAGAGTCAGCAATTCGGAGGTATTGGTGGGGAAACAGATGTAATAAATGTTTGGCTTGGCTATCTTGGAAGAAAATGTGCGTTCCAAAGGCCGAGGATTGGATGGGTTTTCGGGATATGAAATCTTCAACCTTGCTCTCTTAGCGAAATAACTATGGAGAATCATTTCCTATCCGGATTTACTTTTATCGGGATGCTAAAATAAGATTTTTATTTCACTTTATGCGAAAACCCTAATTACATAATCTTGAAATTAAATTAATCTTAAGAACACAATCACATAATTGGGATTATCGACATACCGTCCGCCATGGATTGCGATGGAGATGATGATGAACGAGAACGCAAGCCAAGCCTCCTCTGAATCTCCTTGTGAGAATGTTATTCATGGGGACACCTTCTTCTCTTTATCTCTCCAATATCACAATTCACTAGTATTTGTATGTGATGGAATTCTCAAATTGTCTGTTGTTGAGGAGAAGAGTTGTGGTGTTCTTTTATAGACGAGAGAAGAGGGTCCTGATTGTTTTGTAACGGCAGAAGACAAATCCCACCCATCATGGTCTTTTATTGTCATCATACGTTACAAATCAATTACCATGAATCAACCTTAATTCCATAATAGAATTACCCACAATTAATTAATTAAAATCAAAGGTTAGTGGACCATTAAAAATAAAACGTTAAAATTAAAAAACGTAAAACTAACATTCTCCCACTTGGTCCACTAAACCGATTAATAATAATAATAATAATAATAATAATAATAATAATAATAATAATAATAATAATAATAATAATAATAATAATAATAATAATAATGATAATAATGATAATAATAATAATGATGATGATGATGATGATGATGATGATGATGATGATGATGATGATGATGATGATGATGATGATGATGATGATGATGATGATGATGATGATGATGATGATGATGATGATGATGATGATGATGATGATGATGATGATGATGATGATGATGATGATGATGATGATGATGATGATGATGATGATGATGATGATGATGATGATGATGATGATGATGATGATGATGATGATGATGATGATGATGATGATGATC